CGTTCGTTCTCGAAGTATCGAGCTAGGCGTCCCGAAAACGCTGGAAGCTGCGTTGCCGCTGTGCGCTAAACAAATCAAGCCGCAACAATATATTAGTTTAGTTCCAAGATGAAGTCCTTCTCTTTTTTGTAATTTATTCAATTCTTCAACAAATGCAATATTAATTATTCCACCATAATATCTCTAAACTGTTTTTTTGTTCACCAAAACAATTTCGTACCAATTTGGTCATGTGAACGGGGTCGGGTAATAAAAAGTATTTTCTATTCTCAAATGTAAAGTCAGCTTTAACATTCGTCTTATTGAAATGACAATTCAATAAATTGCACATACTAAAGTTAGCTGCACACCCATCAAAAGTAATGTTACTAACAGTAACTCCGACTTGTTCTAATAGCGCTAGAGCCGGTTTCACTAGGGAGACTTTTTGTTGGCTATTAATGCCTGCAATAAAAAAATAAGCTATTGGTATATTCCATGCTTCATTCACGCAGACCAGCATGAATACCACAACTTCAGTGGCTAACTTCATATAGTCCCGCTGCAAACCATTACCACAATTCACATATCCATAATATTCACTACCAGCATATTCCAAGTGTTTTCTAATGGAGATTTCGTCAAAAACCAAAGAACAAATAATTTTTGTTCCTCAGAATTTTTAACTTTTAGTTTTAAAAAGTTAAGAGCTTCTGAAGTAAACACTGGCTCGGCATCTACTTAACAATACCACTAAGCCAATGTATTTGGGTGAGGCAAGCAATTTTGAAATTTTGCCGAACATAAGCATATGCGTTTGGTGAAAAAAAGTGCAAAGTGACAGCAAAAGCTCGAACAGAATGTTCATATGTTTTTTTTAACTTTGATTTTCAAACTTATTTAAAAGCCTTTGAATATCTACTTTACTCACTCCAAAATGATCCAGCATAATATTTTCATGCTCCTCCCACATAGCAAAATGATATTCCCAGAATATACCTGGAACATTCATGTGATGTACATGCATATTCCTGGGGCACAAGTATTTTTCTATCATTAGTATTGACGTAGACAGAGAAATGTGAATTTTCAATACGGAAAATCATTAAATAATTTACTTGTACGTGCCCTTACTTTTCTGCTGCGGGCACGCAAAATTTATATTCAACCAATTTGGAATAAACCGTTGATATACACATACATTCATGTATATTACCGGAATATTTGTTTTGAACATACTAGGTATATTCACCTGCATATATACACAATATGTACATACCTGGCATGTTCGTCTGCACATATACACAATTTGTACATATATGTACATACTTAGGATATACCTTTTATGAACTTTGATGAATATACATGCATGTATATTCCACGAACATTCATGTTAGGAATGTTCACCCGTGTATATTCCCAGGATATTCCTGCAATGTTCTGTATACTTTTTGAACATTCTGGGATATTCGTAGAATATCAAATGCTATCTGGGGTCTAATAATAAATTTCTTTTTTTCAACTCCACTGTCATTGCCTTTAGTGAAGAAATTTGTTTTTTCTGTCGCCAGATCTCCTTCTGCAACTTTCGTATTTTACGGCTCTTCAAAATATTGTTTTTTTGCAGGTCACTAATTTTCCTTCTTAATTGACTTTTACGGGGTGTAACTTCTTGTCGTAAAAATTCTGGGTCTGGCGAAGGAGTCTGTTCTCTCACGGATGGTCCGGATATAGAAGCTACATTATTGTCTGTCGATTGTGTTTTTGTTATCGGATTAAACGACCTTACCTAAAATAAATTAGAAACCTATTTTGGTATATTGTGTTTTACTGCAAAAATTCTTCAAAAATCTACAAACAAACATCAATGTTTTCTATATAATGTATCGCTTCTTTCTGTATAAGTACTGTATCGCACCACTAACACTTGCAAACATGTTTATCAAAATGGTACTTCACTTACATATTTTAACCGGTCCACTTCAATTGTTGGAATGGCGTTGGCTAGCAGTCTCACTTGCAGCTTAGACGAACGATCAAAACAGTCGTCAGCAAAATGATGCGAACATAAGACACTGCTGCGTTTTGGAATAAATTCAAACTTATTCACAAACTGTATCCATTTTGTTCTCCTGTTTGGATCTTTCGGAAAACTAGAACAAAAATAATATAATAGGTGCTATCTGCATCATTTAATCGTGATGAAAATATCCATTACCTACGAACACTACTGAAAGTAGTATAAAACACAATACCGACATCTAAGTAAGTTCCATTTTACTAATTGTAAACCAAACGCACGGTATACAAACAACCTCCTTACAACCTAATTATCTATTATTTAGTGTTTTGTAGTTTTTAGTTAATTTTAGTTTTTGTACACTAGTGTTTAATTATAAAGTATATATTCTTTCCCGCAAATTTCACATTTACAATAGTCTTGAGCAAATATCTCAGAATAATAATATTAATCTTAATGACCAGCTGAAACCCCAATTTCTAATTACATCTAATATTAACACAAAACGATAATAATGTTACCCTAAGCTACGCCTATGTAACATGTTGTGATTCGTACGTTAACCTAAATGTCATTCGAATACATTTTTCACTTGTAAACATTTAATTAGAATTACAAACACTTACCTGTGAAATGTTACACCACAAGTTTTATGTTTTGGTGTTAGGGAACAACCACAAGATACACAACTAACCATATTTAATTAACGGCAAAGGACGAATCACATGAACACGGAACAAGGCCACATAGGCGCATAGATAAAGCCCGTAGATGAAGACCACAGAACATACCCCCTTTTTTGGGGGGATATTTTGTGATGAAGACAACTAAAAACGAGTCTATAAAGACGAGTCTCGCGCTTTCTCTGAAGGGTAGAACCAGCGTTGCCAGATCCGAAAATCGAATTTCGATAGATAAGCTCGACATTTTTTGGTAGATATGGTAAGAAATCGGTAGACTCATTTTTCTTTCATTATATGGGCTCCATAAAATCGCACGTTTTTTAATACTTGAATTTTTATAAACTTACAGCAATACTAGAATAAACTAAAGTCAATAAGTATATTTATAATATTTCGTTAAACATTACAGCACATTGTTAACAAAAATAAAATAATAAACACACAAAAAATAAATAAAATCTTTATCATACATATTGCTAATAAAATTATTAATACTAATTTCAGGAACTAAACACTTTTCTTTCTTTTAAATAAAGATATTTCCTCAGTCTTCCAAATTATCCTTATAAAAGATTTTATCATTCATAGATAACACAAGCTTATCTTCGGTTTCAAAGCTATGACAATTGTCGCTACCAATATATCTCATAGTAGAAGTAAAGATGCAATTGTACTAGTTTTTAACTTATTTCTCAACTTAGTTTTCATTAGATTAACCAGTGAAAATATTCGTTCTACATTGGCTGATGAGTGAGGCAGAATAAGCAAGTTACAAATAAAATTCGTTAAATTTGCAAACATGAATATATCATCTCCATATTTCAATATATGTATTCAGAAAATTTTTGAATTTCTTCGACATTTCGCAATAGACGCCATTCTGTGTCCAGACCTTATAGTTCACTATTATTTATTAAATTTGGAACTATCATCGCAACATCAGAAATTGATTGTAGGGACTTGATTTCACTATTGCAGGATCCACAAAACATAATTTTTCTATAGGAATATTTTTTAGTGGGTACCGCTTTATTATTTGTGAGCATCCTTCGATGTAAAAATCTAAACACCTTAACTTAAAACATGTCAGTTGCTCTTCTCATATTACGGATTCTAAAATTGTTTTCTGTACATTAACACCTAAATAGATGTCAGAAACGCGTAAGAAATTATTAGGACTTTTAAAGTCAATGTTGGAAATTGTAACAGAAAGTAAGTAATTTCTTTTTAAAACATAGTCAAATAGATTTCTGAGTATGTTAGATTATTTTAAGTAATCCACTGTAATTTTTTTAACTTTTAATTGTTACTTTTCGGTAGAAATCCGCATGGTATCGGTAGATCGGTAGATTCCTTGACGAATCGGTAGATCTACCGAAAAATCGGTATACCTGGCATCTCTGGGTAGAACGGAAACAGAAAGTAAAATAAGAGAGGTGGCGGTGTGATGCTAAAACTTGGAACCGCGTTGTGCCACAACCGGCTGACCGCCAATAACGGAAAGCTTTGACGGGAAAAACCGGTATCTAGATTATCGGCTAGTTACAGCGGGAATTTAAAATTTTTGAAGGCACAAAATACTTCGGGTACCCAAATTTCGGTGTCTATACATGTTATCTCGGTTATTAATAGTAATAGAAAATGTGCTGTTTATTCAACAGGGTGCTAACAAATTCCTATTTCCATTAATAATGAACTGAGACTACGGAGTTTAAGGACATCTCAATTGTAATACTAAGGACGCAATTTTGATCCAAATTTTTGGGGACCCATGAAAGGGAATGAAATAATATACACCTAAATCAAAATAAAATAACATTTATTAAGTAAAAAAACACAAATTGTCTTTCTTCCAAAGAGTCCCCAAAAGGAAGAACCGGGTAGCTAAACTTGTGCCCTATCGGAGTAGAAATCCCTACCAGAAGTCTTCTCCTTATGTGCTGGAAGATTCTGTTCCATGCTGAACTATTAATTAACAGAAAATGTTACTTACTTTATGGTTCGGAATGCTCCTTCTTGTTAGTTTTATATTCAAAGGAACTGACTGAATCAAGAGTTTGGTAATCTGTCATCAGGGTGATCAGGTGTGGCGATATGTTGGCGACAATGTTTTCTGAATTGGCGACTAGCAGTTGTTTTGGCGATTTCTCTATTCTCTGTAAAGGCTTGGTGATTTTGGCGTTTTCTAGTACCCTGGTTAAAAATGGCAGCATAAGCTTAAAGATCTAAACGCTAGCATGATGCGACTCTGTGACATGATTGACTCTCGCGCAGAACCGTCAAACGGTTTTTAAGGTTATATTACTGTTTATGTTGTTTTTACATTTTAATTTTTTGATTTTACTATCGTATACAATATAAGAATGGACAAAGTTTTTGAATATTTGGAAGTAATAGAGCAGAAAATTAACGCAGACAACGTGTTAATAAAATATATATACGAGATGGCAAAAATCCTTTTGAGTTTTTCTCGCAATTACGGAAAAGGTTTCGGTTTCAAAGGCCACTATTATTGAGGTGATTTTACTTTTTTTGAACGGACCATTATTGAAAGTGCATAATCGTGGACTACCAATATCACAATATCACCCATTAAATATTCGAATATTGGAATACTCGAATACTCGAATATTCGAATACTCGAATACTCCAATATTCAAATATTCGTTAGATATTCGAGTATTCGAATAATTTTACTATTCGAATAAACCACTAAACAAATAGAAGCAGTAATGAGACGATGTATGTTGTGCGTGCGAGAAAACGGTGGCTTATTTGAACACCTACTTTAATCCTAAAATGTTACTTGTTCCTTCGCAGTGTTCGATGTATGATCAATAATAATTTAAAGTAATAATTAATGGAAATATCAATGCCTACTACCATAAAATCTTAATTTTGT